CTTCAATTTTAAAGATTTAATTTCTCTATCCAAATAGTTTGGTGTGAAACTAAGTCTGGTGTTTAATTCAATGACTGTTGGTTTGGTATTTATATGATGGTTTATATAAAATTTGCTAAATTATGAATTTGCATAATCATAAGTTACACTGCATTTAAATATTGGTTCAAACCATGGCTTAATTAATAAAGATTTTTCATTCTTGTGACACAAAAGGCTAGAGCATATCTCTAGGGAAAGAATTGAGAGAATAAGGCAGGATGGAATTTTACAAAATCTTGACTTCACTGATTTTCAAGTATGTATAGATTGCATAAAAGGAAAACAAACTAAGCATACAAAGAAAAGTGCCACAAGAAGTAATGAACTTCTTGAGATAATTCATATGTACATTTGCAAACCACTATCCATTAATTGTTTCATTAAAGAGAGATATTTTATCACCTTTATAGATGTTCTATCTTAGTATGGTTATGTACATCTAAATCATAATAAGTCTCAAGCCATTGACATCTTTGAGGTATAGATTATAGAGGTTGAGAGACAATTAGATTGAAAGGTTAAGATTGTGATATTAGATTGAGATAGTGAATACTATGGTAGATATGATGAGTTAGGATAAAATCCTAAACTCTTTACCAAATTCCCTAGACTCTTTTCCAAATTCCTATAAAAGCGTGACATTCGTGCTCAATACACAATGCCAAGTATGCCACAGCAGAATGGTACTTCTGAAAGGAGTAATCATACTTTAATTGCAATAGTTAAGAGTATGATGAGTTACTCTTTTATACCTATTTCTTTCTAGGTTAAGACTAAAAGATCACAATGTATATCTTGAACGGAGTTCCTAATAAAGTAACTCTTGCAACTCCTTTCGAGTTGTGGACTGGTAAGAAACCTAGGTTGAGACATTTACATATATGAGATTTTCTAGTGAACACAAGAATATTCAATCCTCATGAGAAAAACTAGATTCATGGACAATATCTAGATATTTCATTGGCTATCTAGATAAGTTAAAAAAATATAGATTTTACTCTCCTAACTATAGTACAAGAATAGTTTAAACTAGTAATGCCAGATTCTTAGAGATTGGCAAAATTAGTGGGAGTGATGAACCAAGAAAAATAGACCTTGAGAAAATAAGAGTATATATTCCATTGCCCTTTTTGCCTTAAGAAACAATTATTACTCAACCTTCTCAGCAAGTTATGAGAAAAGCTTCACATTAGAAATCGTTCATTACCACAAGAAGATGTCACCTTTGAAAATATTGTAGAACAACCTAAATCAATGCCTTTGAGAAGATCTCAAAGGGAAAGAAAATGTGTCATATAAGATGATTATGTGGTATATCTGCGAGAATTCAATTTTTATATTGGGATAAGAAAAAATTTGGTTTTGCTTTCATAAGCCATGAAAAGTGATTATTCTAATAAATGAATAAAAGATATGAAAGAAGAGTTAAAATCTATGCACCATAATAATGTTTGAGATCTTGTCAAATTTCCTGATAATTGTAAAAGTATTAGCTATAAATGGGTCTTCAAGACTATGCGTGATGTTAAATGCAATTTAGGAACAATTTAAAACCCAGACTAATGGCCAAATGTTTCACTCAAAAGAAAGGTATGGATTATAGAGATATCTATCTCTAGTTTTAAAAAGGGACACCCTTAAAACTATTATGGTACTTGTAGCACATTTTAATTAAAAGGATGGGAAATATACTTTTTTAAAGGTTTAAACTTACCTATATCACTAACGACTCTGCAAGAGAAGCCACATTCAAGAAAAGAAAGAAGGAGATGATAAATAAAGTGAGTGAACTCAGTACTCTCTGCGATGTTAAAGTCTGTGCAATAATTTATAGCCCTTATTACACACAACTAGAGGTTTGGCCTTCCCCTCTCAGAGCCCAACATGTGTTTGCTGACTTTAAGTGGATGCCCGAGATGGAGCAGAGCCAGAAGATGGTGAATCAAGTGAGTTTCCTGCATCTGAGGATCACCAAGGCAATTGACCAATTGAAGAAACAGTGCAAAGGCAATCTCCAAAAAGAGATCGCACATATCATATTCCAATGTCTTATGGGGAAACCCCTCCACCAACTCAACCTTATTGATCTCAATAATTTAGGTTGGCTCACTGAACAACACCTTAAAGAAATTTAAAAGAGGATGGAAACCCTCTGCAAATTGCCTTAGCCTCTCTGGGCCATAGATGGAAGAGTGATGAAGTTTCCCAAGGTGACTTTCACTCATATCAAGAAAGATTCTTCAGTGCAAAAGTTGCAGCAGCTGCATATGCAGTTTGTTGACAGGTTGAACTCACAAGCACAACATGTAGGGTCTTTTAACGAGGAATAGGCAGAGATGATGGTGCCATTCATGGATCAGAACAACCATAATGATGGGTTGATATGGTTCATTGGGTTTAATTACCCTTAGGAATCGAGTATTATGATTTTAATTTTGAATTTTTTAGATGTTGTTGGAATTGTACTTTAAATAACTGATAACATTCTAAGATATGTTGTCAGACTCTTAGTCGTTGTAGCAGTCATCTTAATAGTTGTGGTTGTTGTCATATAGTTGTAGTCGTCAAGTCGCATGCGTGCATGTAATGGATTACTTTGCATTACGATTTTCTTAAAAATTAATCTTTTCTTTAATATTTTATCTCTTCTTTTAGTACTACTTTTCTTTAATTTTTCTCTTGCCTCAGCTTGATGTGACTGCATTTTTATTTGTTAAAATACTTGCACGCTTAATGTAATTTTAAGCTATTAGAATGTTATTTTCTCTTCTGTTCTTTTTTTATCCATAATGGAGCAAGGATAAAAGTATTATTGATGTAGTATATATAGAAATTTAGTCTAGTTAGGAGGAAGATGAAGCTAGCTAGCTCCTCAAATTTGTTTAGATTTAAAATGAGATTTTTGTATAAAATTTAATAGATATAGATATGCTCTTCGGATCTTGGATTTAAAATCTAGGATAATGGCACTAACAGATAATATTTTCCTTAAAGAAAATCTCGATCTAGTCATAACATCTAAAATAATTAATATTTTAATTAATATGAATATTATACGTTTATTGGGAAAAATACATTAAATTAAGTTATAAATTGGCTTCTAACTAATTAATAGATATATAGAATAATCTATCTTTGCTCTCTATATTTTGAAGACAAAAAACTACACTCACACATATACTACCAAGTTAGAATGTTG